TTCTTCTAGCCTCAAATTTGTCACTATTATACAACCACACCCATGAGTCAATTTTTTCATTTTACTGTCATACAATGAATGCAGGCTCTTAGGAGGTGCCAGACTGACAGTTTTGAAGCCAACAAAACAGGTTTTGCAGAGACATCAGCAGACCCAGTTCTCCTTGTGCACTTCAATCTTTCTGAACCATGGTGGCTTGATTACAAGACAACCTCAGTTACAGACTGGTATATCTAAGTATAACTTCCCAACTCTTAAGATATTTTGTTCTTTCCCTATCCAGAAGTGACCTAATTATATGGCCTTTTTCTTCCTTAGTTCAAATGAATACTGTCCCAATATGGCATCTACTGGATGAAATGTCCTCTAATGGTAGTGCTGCCTTATGGACTGAGTGGGCAGTGAGGCTGACTTCCTTTTTCTGCTCCAGGAACTTCACTCTAAATTGCCATGGGGAGCTGTTCCTGTGGGCAATTTGCATTCTCCTTACCTGTGCTCAGCCTCACTGCAGATAAACTTAAGGAATCAGGTCTTCTGGGCTATTAAATCATCACCTCTCACAGCTGCCAGTTTCTCAGAATAATGAGCTCTCAATTATGCAGCATAATGGCAAGGTAGAATAATCCAAATAAAACAAAACCAAGGCTTATACAAAAGTCAAATAAATTAGGCAGTAAGGATAGATTTAGTGTGTTCACCTTTGAAAGGCTGGTGAACAGATTCTGTAGAGAACAGAGGCAGCTTTAAGTAGGCAGAGGGGCTGGGTACCTGCAGGATGAACATTCAGATGTGGTGCTGTGGTCAGGAATGACAGAGGAAGGTAAGGCCTAATGAATCCATACCATGGGTAATCTATTCAGGTAATATTGCAACTTCTCAGAATAATTTTATTTTTCATTGAACATATCATTTCTTTAAGAAAACATGCTGCTGATCCCAATCAAAAAGTGGAAATAGACACTCAGTTAATGACTGCTTATCAGCATTATAAGTGAAGGAATTGTTGCTGAGAGAAGGGGTTGATTTTCCTCTCTTGGCAAAGAGAAAAAATGAAGTTTTATGAGAGCTACAAATTCTTGTTTGGCTGTAATAAACAAATTTTGCCCAGGGCCAGGGAGGCAAAGCTAAGCTAAACTTTTCTCCTCCCCATCTCTAGCCATATCAATCTGCAGCTGCACAATTCTCCAGGGATAAGCTCATGGACACACTAACTAGCTCTGAAACAAAAAGCTTCATTCTTTGTTTTTGGCAGTGAAAGCAGTGAGAAGTGGCAAGGCAGGCACACAGGTTGTGCTGAATCCCTTGGTATGATCTCTCCCATGAACCTCCTGGGGCTAGGACCAGAGCAGCAGCCTTGCTTTCCTGTCACTGTGAGGTACTCTTTTGCAGCTGTGCTGCAAAGGGTAACTGCATTCAAAATAGTCTTGCTTAGTCTGAGAAAATAAGTCTGAGTAATGAAAATATCAATCAATCTACTTGTTTTGCACTCTGGCGTCTTGAACTTAGGTTCCTAGATACAGTTTGATGGAGTGCCACCACAACTTACACAGGTAGTTCAGCCACAGGCAAATAAAGACCTACACAACCAAGTGCAGATTGTAAAATCCACTATCTGACATGTAAAAAAGCTGGTATGGATCTACTATAAAATGATGGCCTGAGCAGTAGTAACTCCACCTCACATTTCCTATGTCCACGTACAGTTATCAAGAGAGTTGCAGTAAACAAACTTACTAGCTCCTCATGTCCTAGTCTTCATGCTACTGTGGTTGAAACTGGAAAGAAACATGATGCTATGCATGGATTCGGTTTTGATGGCACTGAATTTTGTAAACATTAGAGAATATGAACATCTATACCGATACTGTTAACTTTAGCCACATACAAGGTCTAGTAACAGTGAATGCTTTAATGTTGTTGGCTTTGCTCATTCCACCTTGACAAATTATGGATGATATGTTTAATTTCCCATTACTGAACCTGACTGCTCCTTAGATTACGAGAGGACTTTTATTTTCTTTTGCTGATGAAGAACTGAGGTACATTGTAGGGCTGTGCCCAAATTATATAGGAAGTTATGGCAGAGCAGGTAACTGAAATGAGCTTTAGCTGAACCCTATCTCAGTTCTTTCATGTATAACTTCAACTACGCCTAATTCTTCTGCATGTATCAAATCTATCAAGTTTTCCTTCAAGAAAGTAAATGTCTCCAGGTCTGAAATATCTACCCTTTCTTCCTTTCTTCATGACCATCTGCAATAGCAACAGACTGTTGGCTTCAAATGTGAGATTATGCTCTAGATACCCAACTTTCACAAAAGATGCAAATAGTGATTTCCCTTGTATTTTTAATATCTGAGATAAATAAACTCAAGGATCAATTGTTTCAGTCAATAAGGAGAGAAACAGTATCAATAAGAAGCAGGGTTAAGCTTTCCTTCTCTGTTGAGGGCTGCTGGACTCTACCGTCAAGCTCATTAGTAGTGCCTTGTGCTCTGCAGGGACAGACTGCTTATGAAGGCAGCAATGGCAAAATCAGTCTTTTTAAATTTATTTAGAAAAAGATTTATGTCTTTAAAGTTGGATTAGGAGTTATCACCTATCTCTTGACTGAAGCTCCCAAACACACAGTCTTTTGTAGTTCTGTTTAACTCGGTACAGACAGTCTGCCTTGTAGGCAAGGAAGGTGACGTGGTAAATATGAACTACCATCTCACACCAGTGCTCCATGGGCTTCCTCCCCAGCTTCCGACACTTCAAAGCTCCATAGCTGTCTGGTCTCCAGCTGTCTTACAAACAACCTCTTCACCCATGAAGCATGCTGTGGGTAGGGGCAGTTGTTTCACAGGAACCCAGAATACATTATGTTCCCAGGGTAAGTTCTTGCCTGACTTTACCTCCAGGGAACAGGAAGAGCCTGAGCTGGACTGTCCTCAGAGCTGTTTGCAAACTGTTCTCAGAAACAATGGCTGATGATTCATCTGGCACTGTCATCAACAGTCTCTAGGCCTGCCGTTTAACAGACCTACGCAAAATAAAGAAAGGAGACCTTCCCAGACAGAATCATACATTTTTTAGTGGTGGATCTACAGAAGAGTAACCTAGGCTTAAGAGTGCTTGTAATCAAGTGATTACATATGCTTGCCTGAGGTTAGACAGTAAGCTAGTTTAGCAGCTCTGGGGACCCTTGTTCCTGTCTTGTGCTCACATGACATGAGCACACTGACTCATCCATGTGTGGAGATACATAAATGCCTACTTATAACGTGTTTTTGCAAGTTTTAGTAATAAAGCCAGATTTGTGAGGTTGCAATCCTCCTATGGCAACAGAGCACTGTCATCACTAACATTTGACTTAAAAAACCCTTTGAAAAAGCAACTCAGTTCCTTTTTTTTTGTTTATGCTAGTAATGCAGAAGGTCACTGGTTTAATGTGTGCAACATTTTAATGTTATTTCTATTAATAAACATTTGCTGGAAGATATCCTGCCTGGGTAATATCTTTTGAAAATGCCTGTAATTATGCTACCTAAACAAACTTTTCTGTGGTGAGAACAAGACAAAGCATGGGGTGGACATCCTAGTAATAATGACAGGCCAAGTGATATTGCAACATCTGAAAATGAAAGACCCCAGAGCAGGGAAGATGGATGCTGTCTACCCTCTGCAATTGATAGCAGTGAAAGGATAGTGATGACTGATGAAGACCAAGATATATTAATGAAGTAAGCTTGTACTACTCATTAAGGATGTGAGTTGACAGAGGTTAAATATCATGCTGGCATCTCTGGGAATGAAATGTATCCACATAGAGCCTACATAAGCACATAGGGAAGCCATCCACTGAAAAACAAAATTATGGATGTCTGCAATATGAAATACATGAAATATTTACCTGAGGGATTTAAAACCATGCTAAAAAAAACCTAAACAAAACATGTCTACTGTATCCTCCCCAAAAAAACGTGAAAAAAGGACTAAATATTGGACTAAAAAGGTGAAACAAAGAAAAGTGCAACTTAACAAAACAAACCTTCAGCATGGGGCTGCAGGGAATACCTGCAGCTGCTGAAACACACATGGCTCTACCAGAGGAAATTTCTTTTTTTTTCTTTACAAGATTTTAATCAAAAGTTAGTTATCCTTATTAGACTGGTGGATGTAAAAAAGTTGTCTTAGGGGTATATTAAAATCCTTGAACCTCAGTTGGTTAATAGCATTAAAGGCTGAAGGATATTTTTCTTTAAGCAGGGAATTGTAGCTTAAAACCCCAAATAGATCAAAACCTTTTTTTCTTTCTTTCTCCTCTTCTCTCACACACTGGTAGATGAAGTCAGAGCAGGGTGTTCACTCATGTTACCAAGAAAACAACAAAAGATATTTAGACACTGTACATGTACTTCATGCAGGTGGGAGGAAAATGTACAGAAGTGTACCCTTTTTAGGGATGCATCAACTCACACATCTTCTTGGAAAAGACAAAAGGACAAAGAAAAAACCCCAGCCATGAGAAAAAAAAAAAAAAAGATAAAAAATTCTGTGTTGTTCTGTCACCTTCCATGTCATATGAAAATACTTCTTCCAAAATTTGGAAGCATTTTGTAAGAACATTCAGAAGCATATTGTTTTTTTCTCTCTTTCCTTTTCAAAGCAAAGCAAAGTTCCACCCTTGCTCTCTGTCTCTCTTTTTTCTCCTCTCTCTTAAGGAAAAAAAAAAAAAAGTTTTGAGAATTTCATTTTTTTCTATTCACTGCAGTCCTGGCCAAAGTAAAGCCCTCTTTTACATTGACGTCAAGATCTTTACTAAGATTAGGGTTTCATTTCTCTATTGCAGCAATTAGCTAGGGAATGTATAAAAGGCTTCAGGGAAGCAAGCTAGGACTCCAGAGGGGAGAGCACTTTGCACCATAGGCAGATAGCAAGAGAGAGTGCGAGAGGAGGAAGGCAGGAATACAGAAACGCGGAGTGGGGGGGGGTGGGGTGGGCGGGGGAGGCAGAGAGGGAAAGAGAGGGAGGGAGGCAAGGAGGAAGGAACAGAAAGTTTATGTACATAAACCTTTTTTAAAAAAGTATTGTTGCACCTGGTAGCTAGCTTTAGTGACACAGAAATGAGAGGTCTGCTTAGTGCTTAAATAGCTGAGAAACAATGGGATAGTGCAGGAAAGTTAACAATTAACAGTCTCAGCTTAAATTTTGTAACTACAGGGAACTGGAAACACAGCTGCCTCTCTCTTCAACAAAAGCGGGTCTCCTGGTTAAGAGAAAAATTTTAACATCTTAAATTCTGAAAAATAAGCAGCTCAGAGTTGAATGACTATCGTTCAGTTATGGTTTTAACCAGCCTGCTCATACTTAACTATCTCTGCTCATTTTAAAAGAGCAGCTGAGAGAGGAATAGGGAGGCTTTTGAAATGCCTTTTACTTTACTCTCTTAAATGAGGGTACAGAGCAATAAAGAGAGTTGAAGGCACCCAGCTGAAAAGAAGCAGCAAGGAAGATGGGTCTGCTAAGTGTGGATTTGCTGATCACGCTTCAGATCTTGCCGGTCTTTTTCTCCAATTGCCTCTTCCTTGCGCTGTATGACTCTGTGATTCTCCTGAAGCACATGGTGCTGTTTCTGAGCCGCTCTAAGTCTGGGCGCGGTGAGTGGAGGAGGATGCTGACCTCGGAGGGGCTGCGCTGCGTCTGGAACAGCTTCCTCCTGGACGCCTACAAGCAGGTGAGTGCACGGGGATGGGGACTGTCAGCTTGGGGTGGGTGAGCTGGGATGAGCATCCCGCTTGTCAGCGGAGAAGGAAAGGGAATGACTCTATGCAGTGCAGACTATCTCCTATCTGATGTTAAGTTTGATGGGAGAGGTATAAGCTGAAGGGATCAATACTTCTAAGTCGGGGCTAAGCATTCACGGGATTCTGGAGCTGCTGACTCTCTGCTCTGCCACTAACTGTGCAGCTGTGGCCATGTCACTCAGGTTAGGTGTGCCTCAGTTTCCTCACCAGCACGAATAATAATCTTCATATTTTTAAAGTATTTCAAGTCTTCATATAAGAATAATTGTAAAATGCTCTAGATGTTTTCACAGCTGTTATTTGTTTGCCGTGTGAGATTCTCGGATATTATAAAACGTCTGCATCTTCAGATAGAGCTCCACAGAGATAGATGTCAGCTATGGTAACACAGAGAATTGTTTTGCTTAGAGTAAAACACAGAAATGAACCATTGTCATGACACTGGCATTTTCTATTGCTCATGTTAACTTTTATATTGGACAAAGCATCCAAGTAATAAAACTAGGCACGGAGTGAAATAGTGACCTTTTTTCCTTCATGAAAACAGTGACAGAGGGACATGTCAAGAGGTTAAAAAGAACTTGATTAGCTGTCGGACAGCTGCCTGGTGATTTAAGATAATAAAGCCAATAGCAGTTATGCAACATGTACTTTTATCTTCCTCTTAAGTTTTCTTCAAACATTACCCAGTAGTGCTGCCCAGGTCTGATGAGGTAGCTATAGTTCCCTTTTATAGATTAAAAAGGTGGACCCAAACCCATGAAATTTGTTGCACAGACCACCCAGTTAGTAAGTAGAAGAACTGAATTCAGAGCTCTGTGGCTTTCAAAACAGTGCTTAGTCTGTTGATGTGTTGTCTTATTTAGACCATCTAATTTTAATATACCCCATGTGATATCATCCAAATGACAGGTCTCTTTTCTGAAACATTTCTTTTTGTATAATCTTCCCCCCAATTCACTTTTTCACCTCTACAATGGCATTTGTATTTCCTCTTATCTAAAGATGTGAAGAGCTGATGGTGTTGGTGTTTTCTGGCTTTGTGGTATGGAATACAATCTGCTTAACCTGAAACCCAAGACATGGGGACATTAATTTTCGGTGTAAGACAAATATAGATAACACTATCTTTTGCCAAATGGGTCAACCTCTTACTGCCACCTTAGGAATCATCCAGCTGGCTACCCAAATAAAATAATGCTGAATGAAGCCCAGTATTCTCCTAGTCTGTTTAGTCTTTGTTTTTATTCCCTTCATAGACATTAACTACATTTTACAGTGGCCTTTGTAAATGGGTCGGTGAACACAATCATTCCCATTTTACAAACAAGGGAAGGCAGGACAGTTAACACATGACTTGGTCAAGGCTCCAGTGGAAGTTTGTAGCATGACTCTGTGACAGTCACATTTCCAGTTCCCACATTTGCAACCTGTGTGCAGTCTGGGGTCTGGAGAAGTTGTGAAGCTGTAAGGAACCTTATATTGATGAGATATTTTCAATCTCAATTTACTTAAATTACACAAAATTATTTAAAATTAAGATATTGCCTACCTTTCTGTAGTTTCCAAACTAAGTCATGCTTTGCCTTTCCTTCAGTACTGTTGATGTCAACCATGGATGCTACAGGTATGATGACTCTGTGCTATTTTTGGAGTTGGTAATGAAACTCACCCCTTGAACTTTGGCAATTTTGTTCTCTCTCTTATCACCATTAAATGACCCAGGTCATTCAGGCCAATCAGGCTTTAAGGTCCCTAGAATGAAATCTGGGCCTCAATGAACTCGGCAGAAAAATACGTATAAATATAACCAAATTTTATCACCTTGTTCCAAAAAGGGGAAAAAGTCCATTCATGGCAGCTATCCTTAAGACAAAAGGAATTGACCATGAGTTAATTCATGGAAAGACTCTGTTAACAGAATTATGGGCCATAAGCACAGAAGATAATTGGAAAACCTTGATTGTCACAGAAAGGTACTTAAGTGTAGAAATCAAATTATAAAGGGGACACAATAAACTGAGGAACAATATTGGAAGAAGAGTCATCACCTCCACAATAGAGGAGAATCTCCTTTTGTTTCTGTAAGGAAGAAAAAGGAAAAAAGTTTCAGCTGATGGGTTGTACTGGTAGAATTGAAAATGATTGAAACATATTCTGCTTTGTGACATGTTTAAAAAGCATGAAAAATAGTGAAATATATCAAAGAATGTCCCACAAAGCATATTTTTCATTACATTACCCTTTTTCAAATCCTGACTAGGACTACCCAGTTATGGTATCTTAATCTGAAACAATTAGGAAGGGCAAGAAATGAAAATATCATGGAATCTGGATATTATACAGCATACCAAAATGCAGTCAATACCATAACCACTAGTGCTTATTGCTCAAATTTACCAGCTGAAGTCAGAAATTAACCAGGTACTTAAACAGGTACTTAAGCTCATTCCATTGAGGAGTATTTATGAAATAATCAGGATTTTTCATCTTGAATAATAGAATTGCAGATGTCTGAGATAACCAAAGGTAGACAGCCACTTAGCAGAAGATTGGATCAAAAAAGTAACTATGCTTGGTTTTACTGTGTTTTGTGTCACTTACATAAAACTCTTCCTGTGTACATTTCATAACATTTTTCACAGAAGTACCTGATGTGAAATTTCTATTTACAGAAAAAATTATTGGAAGCCATTCCAGAACAACACTGTGGGTAGATGCTATATTCTAAATTAGAGTCAATTTATTACAAGAAAGGACCTCTGCCTTGAAAACACACAGACTGTCCCAGAATGATTTCTTTTTTTTTCCCCAAGACTAATGCCTACAAGATATGACCTTGAAATGGTTCGAGTATATTTGAAAACAGCTATTCTGATGTATTTTCCCTTTTTCTAGAAAAACTTTTTAATATCTTATTCAAACTTCAACTTTTTTTTTCCTGCTTTTTTTTTTTTCTTATTAAGTATTATTGCACATGACTTTCTTGAGGGTAATCATTTCATGGATAAGATTACCTAGCAATAGTTGAAGATTTTAACATCCTCAGTGGGGAAACAATGCAAAATTTGTTGTATTGTATGTAGAGTATATTCAGTATTTTTTTAATTGGAACATTCTATATGACTGGTTTTTTCCACATTTGAGAGTTCTATTGGAATCAAAATAGTTGCTCTTTTGTTTATTTAGATTTTTAATGTAAATTTTGTCAATGATTAATATATTTTTTGATTTTACTTCCTTAGTTCTCAGTTCAGTATTTGTCACACTCACTGTTGATATTGTCTACACTACACCAGGTTTGTGATTTATAGACCATCCTCCTATTATTTCCCAAGAGGCAAATGTGTCTTATATTACAAGGGATTCTTCAGGACCAGATTAACTGTCATAACAGAGATAAGTAGAGCTAGCAGTCAAATTAACTTTATATAATTGAAAGTGTGTAACAGTTTCATTTTAATATTCTTTTCCATATATGTATGTGTGTGTGTAAGAATTTACACTTCTGTATGTGTTTGCATGTATAAAGATATATATATATACCTGTGTGCATCTGTCTCTATACATGTACATACACATATGCATATAAAAGCAAAAGTGCACATACATAAACATACATAATCTAGTCTTCCAGGAGTCAGTCCTCTCTCATTTCTCTGTATATGTATACACTTACATATGTGTGTATGTATGCATATATCATATACATATGTATATATTCATATGGATATGAATGCAGACACACCTACTGATGAGAGAGAAATAATAAGACTTTTGGGGAGGGTGTTAGTGTGACTTCTGCATGATTTACATAGACTATTTCTACAACTGCCAGTGAAGCATTTGTTTTACCCTACAGTATGTATATGGAAGGTATCACACATCTGCAGAAATCCAGAAAAAAAGCTAGAGAAGTTTTGGGGAAAAAAAATTCCTTTTAAAAGCTTTTTTTACCTTCTTAATTCTGATGATTTATTTAGTACTGGGATTTATTTAGTACAACTTTCTAAGATTTCAGGGGTGAGAAATCGTTATCTTACAATGCTTTTAAAAAGGGTTCAAAAGAGGTTGTGCCCATTAGCAAGTGCCCAGTGTTGAGGCCTCATACTGGGATCATTTCCAGTGCCAGATATGACTCTGTGTTTCAGCAAGGCAGAGTTACCATTCCTGGTCTCCAGTAGAGAGCTCTAACATCATCCTTGAGGAGATCATCCCTCTTCTCCACCTCAGTGCAGGGTAGATAGGAGGAAGACCTTAATGGCATCTCCCTGGAGCAGCCAAATCCTTAGGAATGCAGTGGTGCATCTATGGGGGCAACACACACGTGTGCACATAACACACTTGTGTGTAAACATGCGTCACAGGCCTTAGAGGGATGTTGGTATCTCAGGTGATGGATGGTGATAGGTGTGGTGTGTACTTGTACAGCTTTTTACTGCCTTTAGAGTGGGCCAGCAGCAAGCTCTGGCATGACAACCCCAACACAGGGGAATGGCTGGCACAGGATCCCAGATTAACAGCGTAGGCCCAGCTTTGGATGTAGCAGCAAGTCAACTGGTTCAGTAAACACCCCGTGGGATTTTCCTGAGATTTCAGGGAGGAACAGTTAAATTACTTTGGCTACTTTTACCTGCCTGATAAGTACAACTTCCAAAATAAATCCTTATGCAAAACAAAACTGTCCAAAAACTGACATGTTAAGCACATCCTGCACAGCATCATCACAAAAATATCTGTGAAAGTAATATAAAAGCATGATCCTCTACCTATCTTTGGCTGTTCAGTAACTTTGTGCTTTTTGGGGAAATCTTTTAAAGGTTGGAACAAAGAGATAGCCTCCATACTTATTATTTGTATTTGTTTTGCCTGGCAAGGTAAGGAAGTGTCTCTCTCTGCATTTTATAGTGATAAGGGGAATTTGTGAAAT